AGTCCATATGTAATTTCCGCCATCTATCCCCCCCTTGGGTAACGGATGGCCTCCGCAGCGTCCTCCCTATCGGGACTGCACGCTTCCCAACGTACTGTCGTATTTCCTAGAATTATCTAGATGCTCACGACTTCCCAAAAAATATATCTAAATCCGCAAAACTTCTGTTGAAGTAGGATAAATTAGGGCCAGGGACACGTTGGAGGACCGCGCCTCCCATGATGTGGGTGCGTCACACTTGCTTGACTATATCGGGGGCGTTGGTAAGGTGCAGTCATTATGGCGCTTTCCATACTTCTCCCATTGTGGATTTCATCCACTTACGGCACTGAAGTTCCCCAACCAAAGGGGAACGTTCGAGGTTACAGAAGTAACCCTTCGTTCCCCGAGGAGGGGAACGGAAGTGCCATACTCCGTCGCCATAATGACTGTCCCTTAGCTGTTTGAAAGTCTCTTCAGCTTAAAAAGGATAGCGTCTGCTGGCATCAGGTGTGCTTATATGCTGAGATAATTGCATATGCAGCGCACCTGCGCAAGCTTACGCTGCCAATTAATTTCATTCATTGGCCCGTTCAATACTCTTTCAGACAAGCGGCTTCTGATCCGAATCCTCTCATCGTGGATTTCATCCACTTATGGCACTTCCGTTCCCCTCCTAGGGGAACGAAGGGTTACTTCTGTAACCTCGAACGGTATTTCGTTCATGTTATAGATATTCTAATGACAACACAATATTCTTGTTCAACAAAAACAACTGAAACCTCCTAAATATGTTGCATTCTAATAATAATATACAGGTGCTCTTCATGTAATTTGCATGTCTTCAAAAGGTTGATTCATTTCACCAATTCTATTCAAGAAGTGAAACTTGTATAATGTATACATCTCTTCCACGCAGACTGATCTATTTCAAGTGTTTATTTTATTTAGTTTGATGACAACTAATAAAAACCCCAATTCAGTATCTCAGAAAATGAGAATATTACTTAAGACCAATACAAAGAAAGTTTTTTTTAGAAATCTTGGCCAACTGAAATGTATGAACATGAAAAGTGTGAGCATGTACAGCAAACAGGTACTGTTGGAAAGTCCTATTGGAAAATGAAATCTGCATCTCCATAAAGTTGGTCAATAGCAGCAAGTGTGAAGTATACACAAATGTATTTACATTCGTGTATGATTGTGTGGTAATCTGTAAACTATCATTAGATCTCATGCATTATTATTTGATATTATAAATAATTTATTAAAATGTGGCACAATAGAGCTGACTTAATAATTAATTAGTTTATTTACTCATTCATTTATTTAAAAATCTAGAATGTTGCTTTCAAATGGCTTTCTCTGAATATTAATAAATACCAAAATAGCGTTGTTCGAACAGGAACTACTGTGTAGTAAAATGTAAAAAAATAACAGTAACAGTTTACATGGGCACCAATAATCCAATTTAAATACAATTAAGACAATACTGATTAAGAATCTACCATGTAAACAGCAATTTTTTATTAATATAATCGAATTAAGGTCATAATTTAACTAAACAAAAATCAGAATTAAGACGTGCAGTATGCCGATTTTAGTCGCATTATTTAAGGACAGTACAGACATGTAAACACCTTAACTAAACTGTCGTGTACGATTTTTGCCACATTTTGCAACAGGATGAACACACACGGCTGTTTGACACTATTTTCTGCACCTATCTAATCCGTAGGACCACAGACACACACACACACCACGAAATGCGAAATTATTATAAATTATTTTTTTCCATACGCGAGCAGTATCAAATTCCATTAAAACAACACTCTTCCAGCAGTTAATACTCGCATCCAATATCCTTTTGTCTTGGGGGCATGCATGAAGTGTTCCTAAATGAAAGGGAAAGTGCCAAACTGTAGTTAAAGTCAGCAGATTAAAACACCCGAAATTACATGAAAATCCTGAGGAAATGTGAATAGTGTGGTGACGCAGTGACGTTAATTGAATTATGTGCTATAACAGTGGTTCCCAACCTTTTTCTTTGGGGCCCCCCCCATAAACATATACAAACACTGGGGAGCCCCCCCACCATATAAATACACACGCACGCACGCACGCACATATGTACTGTGTATATATATATATATATATATATATATATATATATATATATATATATATATATATATATATATATATGTGTGTGTGTGTGTGTGTGTGTGTTTGTGTAATATATAGTAATATGTATAGAAATCATATTTCTATAATCATATAGAATATCCAAAGAAATTATTGTTGATTTTAGTAGACATCCATCACAAGCGGTGCCCGTAATTATACAAGAGTCAGAAATTGAGATCGTTTCGTCATATAGGTACCTGGGTGTATATTTGAACAACAAGCTCGATTGGTCTGAAAACACAATCCAGGTGTATAAGAAGGGTCAGAGCCGCATTCATTTATTAAGACGACTGAGGTCCTTTGGTGTGTGTCAGACACTGTTAAAAACGTTTTATGACTCTGTGGTGTCTTCTGTGATTCTGTATGCTATAACCTGCTGGGGAGGGGGACTATTGGAGAAGGAGAAAAACAAATTAAATAAGCTCATAAAAAGGGCAGGTTCTGTTGTGGGGGGTGCACTACCTACCATAGAAGAGATTGCACAGGATCGAATGCTGGACAAATTTGTTAGTATAATGAATCACGATAGTCATCCCCTTTATGATACAGTCCAAGCGTGTGCAAGCTCTTTTAGTACAAGATTAATTCAACCCCGGTGCTACAGAGAAAGATACAGGAAGTCTTTTTTACCAACAGTGATCAGATTGTATAACCAAAGTCATACCAGATGAATTGTGCTGAACTTGAATTAGATATTGGATATGTACAAGTGTTTACTCGTTGTTTTTGGAACCAAGGTGTGCAGTATGAAATGTAATCTTATTATTGTTTTTATATGTATGTAACTTATTTATCTATTTTTAGTATGGAGAGCTCTGCTGTGACATGTGAATTTCCCTCCGGGGATTAATAAAGTCAAACCAAACTAAACTAGAAAATATTAATTAATCAGTTTTAACTTCTCTTGGCCTTCAATAAAACCAAAATTTAGGTAGGCTTTGTCATACTGTCTAATCTTTTTCTTCGCCTCTGAAGAATCACAGCATTTACGTTTGTCTGCCATTTTTGTTTTGATTTTGCCTGTACGACACGTTGACAAGCAGATTGCCCGAGTGAGCAAAATTTAAATAATTATTTAAAGTTATTTATTTTAATTATTTTCACTATTATGTTGGAATTTTAAGCATGTGTTTAGATAATTTTTTTTTTTTTTGGGCTGCTCGATTTTGGGAAAAATCATAATCACGATTATTTTGGTCATAATTGTAATCACGATTATTCAAAACCATTGCCAGTTAAAGTCAAAATTATTAGCGCTCCTGAGATTTTTTTTTTATAAATATTTCCCAAATTATGTTTAACAGAGCAAGGAATTTTAACAGTATTTCCTATAATATTTTTTCTTCTATTTGTTTTATTTTAGCTAGAATAAAGACAGGTTTAAATATTTTGAAACCAATTTAAGGTCAATATTATTAGCCCCCTTAAGCAATATATATTTTTGATTGTCTGCAGAATAAACTACCGTTATAATGACTTGCCTTATTACTCTAATTAAGCCTTTGAACTGCACTTTAATCTGAATGCTTGTATTTTGAAAAATATCTAGTAAAATATTATGTGCTGTCATTATAGCAAAGACAAAAAGAAATCAGTAATTAGAAATGAGATATCAAAACTATTATGTTCAGAAATAAGTTAATAAAACATTCTTTCCATGAAACAGAAATTGGGCAGGAAAAGGTTTGCTAATTTTCAAGAGGGCTAATAATTCTGACTTCAACTGTATACATACAGTTATTTTCCACCCTGCAATGGAAAGAGAAATAAATACAATAGAATAAAAATATGAAACAAACTGTGCTTTAAGCATCTTCACTGTAAGAAAAACACTTTAGCTACAGCATTCCTTTAGTCAAGAGCAGCAAAGGTTTTCTCGTTATGTTTGTTTAATAATAACAAAAACAGGCGGCAGAAGGATTATAGCGCGCTGTATCTTTAATGGTTTCTCTTTCACGTCTTTTGATCCTCAACTCGTTTGTTTATTACACAAATGAGTGTTAATGTAAATAATCACTAAACACCGCGTTTTGACACCTATTTGACCATTAAAGCGTTCACGTTAAGATGACTTTAGATGTCTGCGCTCCTCTGCTCGTCTCAGTGTGTGAATGAGAGAGCGTGAATGCTGACCGGCCGAATGCTTCTGACTGCGTGATCGTGCTGCACACACACATAAGCTCTTTCGCGCTTTTAAGAGCAACACGTGTACAACTGTGGCGAAATATGATGCAATAATCATTTATCTCGATTAATGCTTTTTTATAATCGTTTGAAACCGAAATCTAAATCGGATTTTCGATTAATTGTACAGCCCTTTATAATAGTGGACCATTTTTATGCCTTTTTCTACCTCAATACTTATCCTCTCCCGCGCCCCCCCTGTGAACTCTGGCGCCCCCCTTAGGGGGGCGCGGACCCCAGGTTGGGAACCACTGTGCTATAACATGTAAAAGGATCATAAAAGGAACATTCAAAAAGCAACTCATGTAATCACCTTAATCATATTATTGTCTTATTCAGATTAAGGCAAATCATTTGATTACTGATGTCCATGTAGAAGTAGTCATTGTTTGTTAATTTGTGCAGATGTGCCAGTTCTTGTCAAGGAAGCATTTTGTTGCAGGAGTTGTCTCTCGTTGGTACACAGCAGCTGCTATTAGAATTTGCAAGTCTAAACAAAATCAGTCAAAACAGATCTGTCTTTTGGAATGCTTTATTAATGCAAAAAAAGCAATGGTAAGTATTAAGCAAAAGTTTTCCTTTTTCTAAGGCTTGAAAGTCTAATAGTCTATCTTATGCATCTTTGTCAAGCATGAAAATATATTTGAGAGTTACAGCATCAAGAGCTTTCCATTATCACTCTTGAAGTGAGTCATACCTGAGTTATTGAAAGCTAATTCAAGCCTCTGCATGTCTTTGACCAGAACACCGTTTCTTGAGCTGAAAATGTCAGCCAGAGAGGCAGCCATTGGCGACGGCTTGTGTTCATCACAATGTCGGCCCTGTAGACTGGGTGCACATTTCACCTCATAGCTGAAAAATAAGGTGCCATGATCTAAAGCACATCCATCATTAACAACTCCACTGCTAACTTTAACAGAACATGTACCAAGATGATCACGATTCCAGAAGTCATCTTCGTCATATACTTCTAAAGTTAATGTACTGCCAATTTTGATATTAATATGACCAAAATTAAATGTTTCTGACCAACGTGGATTGTCATTATCAACAATAGTCTGAGTGCGTTTGTTTTGTCCTTGATGTTTGATTTCTACATAACCATCTGTTTGAGTCAATGTATCTCCAAACAGACCGTTGGCTCTGAGATTGTAGACCTTCAGGGTGGCGAGCCCTTTTTCAGTTGGACAGCAGTTGGACTTCATAATTTTGCTACTTTCACAAACACAAACACAAGGATCTCTCGCACTGCACTTCTTACCAAGCTTACAAGGCTCAGAGCAAACGTTCCTGAGGGCATTTTCAGTGATGTATTCTTCAACAGCTTTTTTCAGCCCTTTTCTGGCAGGGTGTTTTTCGCTCAGTAAGAAATGGAGGGGTTTCAGAGTATACTGCACAACATCAGGGACACTCTTCAATGACTCAAGCCAGCCTTTAAGGGCATTTGGGTGTGATGATCCAGAAAAAAGCAGATCTTCTCCATTTATGTTCCCTCCAATTATCTCTGTCTGACGCTCACTAAACTTGCTGCTCATCTTCAGATTTGTGCCCAACTTTTGTTTAAGCTCTCGACATAAACGTGCCTCTGCCTCCACAGTTAATGCTTTATATATGCCCGAGGCTTCTACATCCAAACAGTCTTTGATTGCAGTGTCTGAAAGTCCACCAATTGAAGCCTCACAGGTTTTTATGGCTGTTATGGCTTTCATGTGTCCCCCTAACATTACACTTGTGGTATAGTGAGTGCCATATGTGGAGATTAGACTGCGGTAGGCGAATTTATCATAAGACGCAGGGAGTAATTTGATTGCTTGAAGAAACTCAGCATGAAGAGGAGGCTTTTGAACAACGTGGTATCTGTAAAGAAACATGAAATGTTTTAGAAGTTAGTTTCTTTTCATTGATTATAAGCAAAAACAACTTAGCTCTCTCTCACCTGTAAAAGTTACATTCAACTTGGTGTTTGGTGAAACTGTATTTGTCTTGTTTGGATTTCTGCATTGCAAATTTTGCTTCCCTGGAATGAGTGCCTCCAACTGTAGCTCCAGAAAGTTGAACACTTAAATCTGCTTTCCAGTTGCCTGAGATAGCTGAAGACGATTCTTCGACCACTGCTTCACTTGATTCAAAGATCTGACTGGAGACTTTCATTGAACACTTTGGCAAGGTCCTCCAGAAGTCAACTGCAGCTGGTAGCTTCTGCTTGATTCCATTCATGTATTGGTTTGTGCGCATGTTACAGGTGCCGTTTCCTAAATCCCATTTCTCTGTGTTGATCACATAAGTACCTTTGCGCTCCAGGGTCACAACATCAAATCCTTCACCAGCAAGATTGTATCCTGGAACAAAGTGAGCATTTTCACACTCTTTTGAAGTGCCTATTTCAACTTCTCCAGAAATGGTAATGAGAAGCATAGCCCAGAAAACTAACAGGTAAACTGGTACGTGCCTCATGATCTGTTGAGAGAAAAGAAAATATGAACATTTCTATCATAACATATTAATAAAACCTAATATATATATATATATATATATATATATATATATATATATATATATATATATATATATATATATATATATTATTATTATTATTTTTTTTTTAGATTCTTACCTCTGAATTCACAGGTGGTCTGAACAAAGTGATTCTGAAATATTGTCACGCTCTCAGTTCATTTTATATCACAGTTTTGTAGTTGCTGGGGGCGTGGGTGTTTCAGTGATGTCAAGATGCAGTGACATCTTAAAGCCTTTTCTGTTTTGTCTTTATTTCATTTGCTCCTATGTAGTGTTTTTCTATCCACTACGCTAGTGGTTGTGCCTTCTTGTTTACCCTTGTCTCACCCCATTTAGTCCTCATTTCAATAATTTTGCTTCCTGCCCCTTGTGTGGCTGCCTCAATCTGTACTCTCTTCTTTCATGTTCTTGTCAGATAGTTTTGTGCTATAGTTGGCCTACGTTTTGGTGCAAATAGAAACTACTCTTGTGTTTTTTCAGAAACCATGCACAAGCTCTAGTGGAACTTTTTTTTTTTATAACAGCGTTGATAATTGTGTCACAGTAGAGTGTGCAGGTACAGCTGGCATGCTTGCCAACACAATGTGAAAGGCTAAAGATGTTGACTGTGCTGATTGTTGTAATGTAAAAATATTACAGCAGGGGCTTTCAGCAGGAGGTGCCTGCATGATTCACTAAAAAAAAAACGTTTTAAAAGAGTCATTTGTTTGGACTCTTAATAGGCAACATTTATTTTCTTGAATTATATGGTATTTTTATGTCCTTAAAATTATACACACCTCCTGCAAATAGGCCCAGGGACTGATTTATATTTAATACATTGGGTTCACAGTGCTGTGGAGGCAATGCTTTTTCTCAGGGTGGCAATTGCCACACTCTGCCACAACAGGAGATCTGCCCTGATGGTTTGGATCATGTAGCTCTGTGATGACGAGCTAATTATCTGAATTGGGTGTGTAAGAAAATATACTATAGAAAGATGGGGATCCTCAGGACTAGTGTTGAGGACCAGTGCTGTAGACCTAAAGAATTCATTAGGTCACACAAACTATGATGACAGAAAGAGGTTGACTAATACAGGAACACTTAGCTGCGCCAAGTAATTGCTCCTCAAGCATTTTAAAAAAAGTTTTTGTTTCATATTGCCAATTCATAAGACGGTTGAGTAGTTGTGTAGTGGGTGTTATAGTTTTGTAGCACATGTTATTTAAAGGCAAGAGTGTCAGGGTCCTCCACTTAAAGCTCTTTTTATTTTTTGACACACATTGACACATTCAGGGCTCTATTTTGACGGTCCATGCGCAAAGCGCAGGGTGCAAACGCTTTCAGGGCGTGTCAGAATCCACTTTTGCTAATATAAGGATGTAAAAATCTTCTTTGTGCTGTGGCGCATGATCTAAAAGGGTTAAGCTTATTTTCTTAATGAGTTATAGGTGTGTTTTGAGAATAAACCAATCAGAGTCTCATCTCCCATTCCCTTTAAAAGCCAGTTGCGTTGCGCCAAATCGCATTTACTATTTACAGGACATAAATTAATTGTAAGTGGAAAAACTGAGCATTTCACTAGCAAGAAAACAATTAAACAGAGCATCTTCAGCGCGAGAATGAAAGATATGCATCTCATAATCTACTTTCACTCTCGTGGATAGGGAAGCCTTATACGCACAGACATCAATTAGCCTATAAATAATTAATTTAATTTGTTAAGCGCAAAGATTTATTTCAAAGCTTTTTCTAAATTCAGTTGTAATTTCCAGCAAATGAATAAATGAACAATAATAACGAGTGCTGTGCATATGCAAATATGCATATGATAAATAATATTAATACTTTTTTGCATATGCACAGAGGAACATTTACACCTCGCTGCCAACTAGCGTTTTGGAAGTGTTAATGCAGACCAACAGAGACAGCGCGCAGAAGTATAAATGCACAGCTACGCGCGTTGCATGTGCCTTGGGTTACGCCGGTCACTTGACGCAGAAGTATAAACCAGGCTTAAAGCTAAGGAGGGCTGCGTTTAGTCAGTTCCTGGATGGGAGGCAACAGGTAGGTTGCTGCTGCAAGTGGTATTAGTGAGACCAGCAGGGAGCAACCTTTGGTCTGTGTGGGCCCTAATGCCATGTGTGGGCCAAGTATTTTGATAGGGACTCTTACAGCTCAGTAAGTGCCATGTTTCGGATGAGATGTTAAACTGGGGTCATTACAAATCCCAACATGCCCTTAGAAAAAAGAGTAGGGGTTTAACCCCGGAATCCTGGCCAAATTTGCACACTGGCCTCCTAACCATCCCTATATCATAATAGGCTTCATCATTCTGTCTTCTCTCCACCAATCAGCTGGTGTCTGAAGTGTCCAGAAAAGTGCTATATAAATGTAAGGAATTATTGTTATTATTATTATTATTATATACAGGCAAGTGCTTTTCAGCCACCGGTAATGTTCCTGTTTTCATTTAGTAGTTTAAGCGTAACAAGATGAAAGGCTGTGAAATTAAAGTCAGGAGCAGCAGGTGAGCGACAAAAAAAAAATCGATTGCCTAGAACTTTAACAATTCAATTTTTACATCAGTATTGTTTTACAGCAACGCAAACAGTAATTATATTTTTAAACAAATGACATTTTAAAATCATTTTAGCACCAGTTGTTACTTTAAAATTTAAAAAGTACTTTAAAGTATTAAATTTGAGATTTAAATTTTTTTTTATTTTTGAGATATTAAAATTAGTCACGAAATGTGTTTTTCTAACCTGTCTTTTCATTTGGTGGTTGCTTGTCTGTGAGTGTCAGATTTGTGGTGCCAATAATATACCATGACGTGGCTCTAACCAATATTCAAATGTTAGTTTAACACATTGGGTGGGCTTAAGTTGAACAATGCTAAACAAAAAAAATAAAAATAAAAAATCTGACATGCCAGTAAACTGTAAATGTATGGTACTACAGATTTGTTGGAACTTTTATAGATGTTTTCAATTCATTTTGAAGGATGCAAGTGAATGAGAGCAAATCCAAATTCCAAATTCTGGGGTTGCTTGAAAACAAAATGAAAGAGGGTAGAGCAATCCTGACATGACTGGAGCGAGCAGCAATGCAAACTATATAGCAGCAATCTCATTGCAACTGCTCTATCTCTCCAGTGATAAGTCAACTGGGGTCATGTGGTTTGTTGGTTTCAACCTCAGATAGCATCTTTAGAGCCTGCCTGATTTACAGTATTGTGCAAAAGTAATTGGCCACCATTGGTTAATTTTTGGTCTCTTTAGCTCTATATACTGTTTTTGAGTCTTAAATATGTACTGTAATAAACACAATATGTAGTCGGTATTTAATTTGACTTTGACACCAAGCACAGCTTCAGCTGTTTTGAGGAGATTGTCCTGAAGTTTTCTGAAAAAAAGAAAAGAAAATAAAACTTATGAAACACCAGGCTTCTTTTAGTACTTTCCTGCATTCTTTTTTTAGGTTTAATTGTCAAACCTGTCTAAGTGATCCCATATCGCCTTATATAATAATTAGGATTCCGTGGCTGTCCTTGATTCAAGGCTGCAAGCACTAATTCTTTCACTTCTCTACACTATTCAAGTTTTAAACAATTAGACAAAAGTAAAAATAAATAAATAAAATGAATAAACAAATATTTTATATTTCTGGTTGTGTTGTAATAAGAAGATTGATAGAATTACATACAGTCGTTATGCCGTCACTAAAGCAATAATGTAATGGAAGCCTAAAACTTTTGCACAGTACTGTATTTTGTAAACAAATGAGGCAAGCACTTCTTCAAATGATAGGACTGCACTGACTGGTGCAACTTGTGCATCTTCCAAATTTTTTTTCTTCCAAAGTTCATTAGAATTGAAGCTAGTACAATGATCACTTTCAGGAGAAAAACAAAACTTAAATACAAATCCCAATTCACGCAATAATGCCCTACAGCCTTGTGGCTTCAAAGGACTCCTCATTTCCTCTGGCTCCAATTGGTTGTTTTTTTACCCTTCACCTTAGTCCCATGAGGTGCCATCATCACCTTGACAATGTCACACTGGCTCATCAGCTCTTCACCTTCTTTTTTTTAAATCTCTGCTCTGTTTTTTTCACCTGTCATCTTCTATAGTTTTGTGTCTACCAGAAGCTCTGTGTCATTCACCAGACCCCTTGACCTTCCTCCCAGAGCCAATCCTCCCTAACTATACATTTTACTTCCATGCTAATGTTACATAGTTAATAAAGATACAGTATGTAAGATTCAAAATACTTTTTCACCCAGCCATTCCCCTGACAATGCAGACTGCTAGGTTGTACACCAACAAGACCGAGCATGGCTCACTATCAAGTGGTGAGCCTACAGTGTAACTACAAGTGACAAGAAACAGACGTGAGAAAAAGAAACCATTTCAAAAATAGATATTTCAAGTGATGGTTAGGACAAAAACTACTTTTGGAAAAGATTAATATTTCTCACGGCTGAATAACAGCTTAAACTTCGATGACAATGATCACCTCAGGTACTGGTTACGCTTTATTCAGGGTTAAATGAGTTTGATTTTATGTGACATTTATTATTAAACTGAAAGCAGCAGCAAATAGTTTACCTCAGACCTTGAACATAAAATAAGCATACTGTTTGAACTGTGACTGAGTGCAAACCAAGAAATGTCAGTTCCCCAGCAGGAGGAGAACTCCAATGCCACAGTACAGTATGTGGAAAAGTTTCAACAAAACAAAAAGGAAGTAAATGAAATGGGTTTCTTGTATTATATGAGATTATATGCACACAAATGCACAATGAGAAGGTTCAATATCTGTGTTGTATAATCAAACAAAAAAGTCAGGAAAACAAATGAGATTTAAGCTGGTTACTTGTGGATGAAAAATTTTATACAAACAATAAAAAACAACAACAAACTCGTAAAGTTTTAGAAAAATAAATCTAT